CACACACACACACACACACACACACACACACACACACACACACACACACACACACACACACAGAGGAACTTCATCGTCCTACTTTACCTTTTAGTAGCAGGTAATAGAAACATATTGGTCATGTGATGCTTTTAAATCCTCCTTTTTCACATTTAACTCATTCAGCTGGGTGTCTATATGGATTAGATTTGATTATATTAGACTTTTATTGTCACTGTACGGAGCACAATTGAAATATAAAGTGGAACTGCAAAGCTTTGATCTGAATTCCTAGCTCCACACGCCCCCTCTTTCACCTATTTTCTAACAACATGCGTTTAAAGGCTAAAGTAAATTTTTCATATGTCCCCTTTAAAAGCTTGTCTACTAATTCAACTCTTTAGGTGCTTTTTGTAGATAACAGAAAACAAATAAATGCAACATCAGTGTCTGAACAATCTTTGACTTGGTCTGGAATTAGTGCTGCAACGATACAGAAAATTCGCGGTTCGGTTCCACACTTTAGTCTCACAGTTCAATATATTTTCGATACAAAAAAGAGAAATGTCCACGCCCTTCTTAACTTGTAATTTATTTAAATTGATTCTGAACATCTGTTTAACCTTTAAAAGTCCAGTTTTCAAATTAAATGTTGCTGAAACAGCAAGTTTCTCAGCAGATCTGTGCTCGACTCTGCAGCCTTGGTGGAGTCGAGCACAGATCCACTGATCCTTCAACACAGAGCATCTCCAGAAGACGAGCTGATAAAATAAATGTTAAAAATCTGTATTGTTCCATACATAATGTGTGTTGAACCGTTCCATATAGATACATGGATTGTTGCACCCCTGGAATAATCCAAGCATATTATTAATGCAAATAAAGCACTTTAAAATTCTAAAACTTACGTGTTGCTGATATTATTATTCATCTTTTTTCAGGGATCATGCAACACGTGATGCTTACTGAAACAAAAAAAAGTGTCTTTTCTGATTAAACGTCATTTTAAAATAAGTCTTCCTGCATCTAAAGCTCAAAGCAATGAAAGGATTCATAAATCTCAGCGCTCTGTATCTCCTGCTGCAGTAAATTTGACCAAAAAACTTACTGAGGTAGAGCCCATTTAACGGCATTGACTTAAAAAGTAAAGAACTTTTTGCAAGTTGAATTAAAATGTGTGTGTTCACTGCAGGTGAAACTTCTCATTTATTTTCTGTAGATTTATCCTGGTTTCCCAGACGTCACCAGGACGAATGGAGCTGATCCTAACTCAGGTAAAAGCATCATAAACCACTGATTTGTGTCCTGCAGTCCTCGTTGTTCTATAGGAACAGAGGCCATTTGTAAATCTGTTTGTAACATCTGTGATCCGGAGCAGAATCAGATTACATCATTTTACATTTAAGTAAAATGTCAAACATGTGAGGACCATCTTTTCTTCTCAGTGATGGGAAAACAGAGTATCGCTGTCAAACTCAAAAGGCCAACATGTAGCAAAACGTCGTTTAATACTCCATGAAAACGTAGCAAATTAAATAAAACATGCAGATTAATGAGTTTTAAATATTTTAATTCCCTTCAGATGACTCCAGATGAGCTACTATTCAGTTGAAACTAAATTGTGGCTGAACACCTCAGCAACAAAAAGGAGAATAAATAATAAAAGATGAAACATTTATCCTAAAAGCTGTGCGATGAGATGGATCAGTGGTGCAACATGCGTGGGGACGCTCTCATGAAACTTTGTTGTGTTTTCTCTTTTTCTGCCTGGAATGCAGCGCGTTCACCCACTTCTTCTGCTTCATAAAATGTGTATGAGGCGGTATCTTCAGTCCGCAGGCTGCAGGATGAGGTCGTGCTCAGCCGTGCGACGCCACCACTTTAATGCGTTTTACAAGCAGGAGCAGGGAGATAAATAGATGCTGATTTGGCTCCTTTTTCCCATCACTTGCTGTGTTTCATACTTCCTGTTCTGAAACAGCAACTTCACTTTGGGACAAACTGAACATCCCAGCATGTGTGGTTTTTGATGTCTTACTTGAATGATTTATAATCTGCTGCCGGATTTGATTTGCATTCATTCATTTGACATTTTATCTGAACACATTTTTTTGTCATCAAATAAACAAATGACCTCTTAGACATCATACATTGGGTCAGAACTCATTTTAAATCAAAGCTTCTCAAGCTGGAATAAAATACCAGACAGCGTAAGAACATACGGGTCTTTTAAATAGTTATTTAATACCTTTAAAATCATGGTACCGGATAATCAAACGTGTAGCCACTGAACATCTTATATCTATTGTGCATTTTTAATGTTTGTGTTGAAATGAATTGTTTTTGTTGTTATATATGGCTTTTTATTCTTTTTAAACATAGTACTTTATGTAGTTTTAGCTACTTTTTAAGAATCTTGTTAACGTGTATGTACTGTGGTACCCTGAAGGTAGCCTTCATGGCTTTATCTGGCACATGCAGGGGCAGAGCTAGACTTTTTTGCACGGGGGTGGCCAAGGTGTCATCATGGGGGTCACATAGAAAAAAAAACTACCCTGAATTTGTAAATGTAAGAAAACCACCAGTTTAAAGTGCTATAATTCAGCCATTTTAAGACTTATTGAGCTGAAATTGAGTTGAATGATTGCTAGTCCCAATTTAAGCTAACTGCTAATGCTAATTTTACAATGAGCTATAATTCAGCCATTAAACACACAGCTGAAAATTTATATTGTAGCCAAAAGTAATCTTTAACAAAATCTAAATGTAAAAAAACAATATCCAAGATGGCCACCAAAGCTAATTTCAAACAGCTGGACCTCAGTCATGTTTTGAAATACTGAGGTGAAATTTGGTAAGGTGGTAGCCCAGAGCAATCCCCATCTAATAAAGCTGTATAACCGATATTTGCTTACCATCTTTTATTGCCAAATGCGATCCCCACCCCCACTTGTCAATCATTTGGGGGTGGTACACGGGGTGGCCAATCAGGTGCCAGATGTGGCACTTGTCACCCTGGCCACCCCTCTGGCTCTGCCCCTGTATGTAATGTGTTCAGTCCCTTCTGAAATAAATTAACAACAGGAGGTACAGTATCTACAACTAATTAAACTTTAGAGTCAACCTCAGTCAAGATGGCTGCCACAGCTAATAACTAACTCAGCAGATGCACACTTTCTGCAGATTATTCAGTTGTTTCTGTTAGTACAATATCTCATTACCAATTGGATGAATTATAATAAGGCGGCCGGTGATTACATTTCTTCAAGAAATGCTTGGTTTGTTTGTAAGATTTTAAATCTTTGAACTATGGAACATAATTAAACATTTGTTGCTGTTTCCAAACCAGCAGATTAATTATTTGATGACAGTAGTTCCAGATAAATGTTTCTTAAACATCTACAGAGGTTTCTGTTGACTGTTCTTGTCCACAATGGATCAACTTTAAACACTTTTTAAAAAATTTTTTAATCACTCCGCTCATCCTAATTGAAGACGCGCATTCATTGTTTAGGATAAACAAGCGGCGGTTGACAATATTCCTGGAGGCACCAGAGTAAACTGTTATTTGTCATGTTTGCAGCTGCAGCTGTGTTTATTTCTGGATGCAGCAGACGCCGCTCGTTTGTCTCTATAGTTCTCCCAGTGTTTCACAAAGCAAATGAGTGCCACAGGAGAAAAATGAGCTCCAACTTAGTTAAAATGCTTACCGGTGAAAAAGACAAAAGTACTGTAAGTGTGACCTGTTTTCAGAAGAGCTGACTCATGCATCGGTCATGTGATGATTTTAAATTACGGTTTTAACTTGTTTAGTTAAAAATAAAAAAAACTTAAAGTTCATGTTCTGGAAGGAAAACCTGAAATTAAAGATCCAGATCAGAGAAACACCAGTGGCTAAAACCTCTAAATGATTTTGTTTATTCAGCCTTACTTTGCTTCTTCCTGGTGATGAATTTAGGAAAGTCTGGCTGAAAAAGCTTTTAAACTCTGGATTTATATCTGCATTATATCAAACATGACTTTAAAGCCACTGTGAGGCAGAAAGATGATTTGGGGGGTTAAACGTGTTGATTTTACCAAATACTCAAAGAATCCTTCATTTAGTTTGCCTGTAAAGTACTTAATTAGCAGAACAAGTGTCAGAGCCAGATGGCTGAAAGACTTTAGAGGAGTGATTTCCAGAAGAGGTCAGTGGTCCTGACGGCGATGGACCGACTCTGAAGTGTTTCTGACACTGAGCAGCAGGTGATGGAGTGGATGTGAAGTGTTTGAACTCAGACAACAAACACCTCTGCTGTGATGTTCTGTAGGTCTGAGGTGGTCAGGGTGAAGGAGTGGAGGACTCTGCAAGCTGGCCTGCAGAGACACTAACGAGGGACCAGAACCACCCGGACTCTTCGATGGGCGGGGTGTCAAAGGTGAGGATGGTGCTGAACACTTCGCACACACTTCAGTTACAGAAACGTGACTCGAGTCACCAGGATGTCACAGAAAATCTCCTGCTGTGACTCATTATTCCAGTTAACTCAGATAATCAGTTTCACAAAGAAATGTTGATTTTCAAAATGAGTCTGGTCAATTTTCATTTTGTTGTTTTTATTCTACTCAACATGTTTCAGTAAATTGTGTATTTTTTGTTATTATTTTTGTTTTTTCTTCTGCATTTGTTCCTGAATTTTTATTCTGGGATTGACATTTTTGCATTTAACAGAAAATGTTATTTAGTTAGTTGGTTGGTTGGGTAGTTGGATGGGAAGGTAGTTGGTTAGTTGGTTGCATGATGAATAATTAGATAGTTAGTTGGGTAGTTGGTTGGGTCGTTCAGTGGTTGGTTGGGTCATTTAGTTGATTGGGTCATTCAGTAGTTGGTTGGGTTGTTCAGTATTTGGGTGGGTCGTTCAGTAGTTGGTTGGGTTGTTCAGTATTCGGTTGGGTCGTTCAGTGGTTGGTTGGGTCGTTCAGTAGTTGGTTGGGTTGTTCAGTAGTCGGTTGGGTCGTTCAGTGGTTGGTTGGGTCGTTCAGTAGTTGGTTGGGTTGTTCAGTAGTCGGTTGGGTCGTTCAGTGGTTGGTTGGGTCGTTCACTGGTTGGTTGGGTCGTTCAATGGTTGGTTGGGTCGTTCAGTGGTTGGTTGGGTCGTTCACTGGTTGGTTGGGTCGTTCAGTGGTTGGTTGGGTCGTTCAATGGTTGGTTGGGTCATTTAGTTGGTTGGGTCGTTCAGTGGTTGGTTGGGTCATTCAGTAGTTGGTTGGGTCATTCAGTAGTTGGTTGGGTCGTTCAGTGGTTGGTTGGGTCGTTCAGTAGTCGGATGGGTCGTTCAGTGGTTGGTTGGGTCGTTCAGTAGTCGTTGGGTCATTCTGTGGTTAGTTGGATCGTTCAGTAGTCGGTTGGGTCTTTCAATGGTTGGTTGGGTCGTTTAGTGGTTAGTTGGGTCGTTCAGTGGTTAGTTGGATCGTTCAGTGGTAGGTTGGGTCGTTCAGTGGTTAGTTGGGTCGTTCAGTGGTCGGTTGGGTCGTTCAGTGGTCGGTTGGGTCGTTCAGTGGTCGGTTGGGTCGTTCAGTGGTAGGTTGGGTCGTTCAGTGGTAGGTTGGGTCGTTCAGTGGTTGGTTGGGTCGTTCAGTGGTGTATTGGGTCGTTCAATGTTTGGTTGGGTCGTTCAATGGTTGGTTGGGTCGTTCAATGGTTGGTTGGGTCGTTCAGTGGTTGGTTAGGTCGTTCAGTAGTCGGTTGGGTCTTTCAATGGTTGGTTGGGTCATTCAGTGGTTAGATGGGTCGTTCAGTGTTTGGTTGGGTTGTTCAGTGGTAGTTTGGGTCGTTCAGTGGTTAGTTGGGTCGTTCAGTGGTCGGTTGGGTCGTTCAGTGGTTGGTTGGGTCACTTGGGTCGGTTGGGTCGACCACTGAACGACCCAACCGACCCAAGTGACCCAACCAACCACTGAACAACCCAACCGACTACTGAATGACCCAACCAACTACTGAACGACCCAACTGAACCCAACTAACCACTATTTTGCCCTGAAATAACTAAACAAACACATCAGTCTCCCATTGAAAATAAAGTTCAACAAGTGCCAATGCTAAAAATAAATACATGTGAAGAAAATATGCTAGTTATATTATAATCCTACTTCCCTATCCCTACTTTCTTTTTATTTACTCTTCCCGACTCTTTATAGGTGGTTATTTTATGTTCAAATTAGACTCCATACATATAAAAAATAAATAGTTTTCTGTTAAAATTTTGTAATGAAGTGCTTTAATAAAAGGTTGTTTGCAATGTTGAAAAGTTTTAACAACAAAACATAAACTGACAAACAACATAAAGTGACAATATTTCTGAAGGATGTTACCAATTTTTGAGTTTAATTTCTTTGATTAGAGATGTGATTTTTTTATTTCCATGTATTAATATGCTCAGTGAGCGCTAATGGACCTAATGTGAAACACTGTAACAGTTAGCACTCCTCAGCAATCAGTCGGTCAAATTACAGCTGCTGCAGAGCTCAGAGACTTCCTTCCTCTGGCTGCAAGTCTTCTTGTCTCCAAGTGAGTCAGTGCAGAGGACAAAATGTCATGTACCACATCTGAACACGCAGATGGCTCTGCTTCAGCCATCATCACTCACTGCTAACTCACAGGTTAACACGTCGAGCAAGTCAGAAGAAAGTGTCACATTTCAGCTGGAAAGTTGGCAAAGCAAACTGCTGCCGGAAGAAGAATTGGATTAAACATCAGCTTTAAATGTTTTCCTTTCCCCCAGCTGGACTTTGAGTGATGCTATTTTCACCACGTGTTTAAATGTTTCATGGCTGGTGCGTGCTATATTTATAGAATCGCATGTCTTTGCTCACATCAAATAGTCATTCACTTTCCTAACGTTAAACAGAGATAAATGCAAAAATATCAACTTAGACCAGTGTTTCCCAAAGTTGGGGTCGGGACCCAAAGTAGGGTCCCGAAACATCAAGGTGGGGTCCTGAAAAGATTTTCTGAATTAAGTACATTTTTTGCCTTAGTTGTTACAAATGAGTGAGGTTAGTGTATTTAAAATGGATAAATGTAGTAAAAAAAATATTGTTACTATGCCCATGTTTAGTTGACCTGATACAAATGTTTATCATCCAAAAACAGTTGGGGGCTCAGGTCTCTGCTACTGTTATTTTGTGGGTCAAAAGCTGAAAAGTTTGGGAACCACTGCACTTTGGTTCCCAAAGTTGGGCTTGGGGGGACCCAATTAAGGGTCATGAAGCACCTTGGATAATTTCCAGAAATCAATTTAAAGGGTAATAAAATAATTGCTGATGTAATATTTTCTCTATAAATATTACAAAAAACACAAAATAACTATAAATAAGTATTTATATTTGTGTACAAACTGTTTAGATTGTCAMAAAGCCTGTGTTTTTAGGGTTATTAATGAAGTTCGTGTACTCAGACCAGTAATATTTGGGGTCACAAGTTTAAGCCATGGATATTTTGTGGGTCAGAAGATAAAAAGTTTGGGAAACACTGACTTAGACATTTTTACTGGTTTTCTCGTGAACAGAAAAAATAAAATACCTGCTAAAGTTCAATGAACAGCCCTAAAAAATGAGATAATTTGAATTTAATGGCAGCAACACATCTCAAAAACACAGAAAAGTGGACATAATCCAAGCGCTACAAATAAACAACTACAAATAATTTTTTTTTACAGGCTGAATCTCTCAGAAGTAAAGATGTTCACAGGTCTTTAAATTGTGGAACAATTTCAGAATAATGTTCCTCAGTAGAAAAGTAGAAAGACTTGTTTTTTTTAAAAGCGGTACAATTTTTTGGTAAAACATTTGATATGTTAATACATGCTGTTGTGACAATATGGATTTATGGGATTAAAAAATAATTTCAACATTTACGGAACATACAACCTCAATTCCAATGAAGATATATAAAACATAAATATAAACACTTGTTTATTAATGACTGAACCTTTCAGAAATGCTCCCTTTATAATCACCTGTTTCCAGCTGTTCACTGTAGAATGCTCCAAACAGGGTTTTTTTTAGCATTCCTCAACGTTCCCAGTCTTTTATGGAACATATTGCAGGCATCCAATTCAAAATGAGTGAATATTTGCACAAAAGAAATCAAATTCATCCCTTTGAAAAATAAATATCTTGTCTTTGTCGTGTTTCCAATAGAAAAAAAGGTTGAAATGATTTGTTAATCATTTTATTGTTTTTATTTAAGTTTTACACAACATCCCAACATGATTGGAATTAGTATCTGTGCATTCATGCTTTTTCCCTAACTAAAACTCAGTCTCTTCTTGTTTTTCCTTCATCAAGCTAAACACAATATAACATTGTAATTTAGTGAGAAATTATCCAAATGGTAAACAGATAATGGCATCACTCCCTCACTACAGAGAGATGTTAATTTTATAGTCTGCTGTTGCAAATGTCTTTTACAGAAACACTACAGAAAAACATTTTAGAGGTTGCAGATTTATTTGTTTGGAGAAATTTATAGTAAATAGACATCGCAGCAACAATTATCAGACTTACTAGGTTCTACTTCCATGCCTCTGAAGTTAATTGTACGAAACCACTTAATGGCCCATCTGCAGGCGCTCTGTGAGATGCAGGGAGCCTGAAGTCAGCATATAAACAGAGGAAGGATGCTGCAGGATGCACTGCAACATGGTCAGAGGAAACAGGTTTTTCTGCAACAACACAAAAACATTGGAAAGCTGAAAAAGGATGCACTGCAACATCTCATATAAACAGAGGGGATGATGCTATAGGACACACTGCACAAACAGGACGGATGCTATATATGGAGGACCAAACCTATCATTATTGGAAATAAATGTATAAATATATAACTGGCGTATTAAAATAAATTATAGGGTCAAAAAGAAGTTTGACAAATAAATTATTGTGCCATTAAATCAATTACAT